AATATTTTAAATAATTATTTTGTTTATAAAAAAAATATAGTTTAGCAGTAATACAATAGATTAATAACTCCCCCCCCCTCACTCACTCACTCCCAAAATTGATTTAGATCTAGATTTTCCTTGTGAATCGATATTTATATATAGATATATTTTTTTTTTTGAAAAAAATAATTTTTTTTAAAATTGTGTTTCGTGATAATGGGAAATGGAATGATAAAATGATGAGAATGGCAAATAATAGTTACGATAGATTAGCATCCCTTCGATTATCAGGAGGTAGAGACCTTGCAAATATCAATCAATTTTTCGCCTATTCCTAGCCCCGCTATTTTTTTTTCTTATCGGGCACGGCTCTGCCCAAATTTTATTTAAGTTTCGAGCTAGATGTTGTGCGGTTTTTTTATTTAAAAACTAAGCCCTGCTCAGGTCTCGGACCTAGATTCGGGGATTTCGCTAGAATTGGAATGATGTGCTAGTATTTTGGGGAAAATTTTTGAGACTTAGCCCTCCCCCCATGCCCTCTTAAACCTCAAAATAATGTTTTTTTTACCCCTACAAGAAGTTGACTCCCTACCATAGTTTAAAAAAAAATCGGTTAAACCAAGTTTTTAACCCTATCACTTTAGTCTCAGAGGTTTTTTTTTAAAAAAGATAGCAGCTCAAATTTGTAAGAAACTTACATAAATTAAAAATGCTTCAATGTTGACGAATTTTATCCTGCAGTCGCCTTAAGATTGAATCGAATTAGCCAACATTTAGCTATTACTCCCTCCCTAACATACCGATAGATATTTTGAGACACGCCTCCATCCTTTCATCTAGACACTGACTGAGGCTATCCCGGGCGTTTCGAGAACATTCTTTTTTTGAAACGCATAAAACCCAACCCGTCCGATTGGGTGAGTCACCCACTGGGAATAATGTTATTTACACTTTGTTCTGTCACGATTCTGCTCGGAGCCAGCCAAAAATCCTTAAAGATTTTTGATCTCTGAAGATAGGAAGGAAGGAAGGAAGAAAGAAAGGAATATACTTATTTTATAATACTCAATCAGGATATCAAAATCTTTGTAATCATTACCTATCATAAATAGTGTTATACATACATATATATATATCCTAAACTTCGTTTTATTATTACATCTGTTTATCTAAGTGCATTACAAATTATTTCTAAAAAATAAAAATTAAAGTTCATTGGATATGAATGTGTTATTTTTTATGGTTTAAATTTAAAGTTAGTTATTTGCCGACATTGTATTTTATATGATATGTATAAGGTAGCCAACAGGATGCGAGAAATTTAGCCCTTTGCGTGTTTATTTATTTATATGTTGGTAAGTGATAAGGTTAGATATATGTTTCTCGGGCAACATTTAACTATCATTGCTGGCTTACCGTGAATTAAAAATCCTAGTGGCACGATATTCCGGAGAATCGGAAAAGCTCTCGTAGCCTCCCATAATAAGGTTTAACGGAACACCTTTTGGAGTTAGTCTTACTTTCAAAATGCCCGACAACTCCCCCTACCCCCCAATACATGGTGCTACACTTAAAAAAAGCCTATTTCGCTGCTATGTAAAATATGCGGAAAACGCGCTGCTACCCCCCCCCCCCCGCCCTCTTTCTTTTCTTTCTTTCTTTCTTTCTTTCTTTCTTTCTTTCTTTCTTTCTTTCTTTCTTTCTTTCTTTCTTTCTTTCTTTCGTTCTCGTTAATGAAAATTTTAAAGATTGCCTAGATGTAGACAGCTCATAATGAATGATAATCCCTCATTGTAATGAAATTCCCAATAATTTTTACAAATCTAAATTTAATAATATAACAAAAATCGATATATTAACGGTATACGGAAATTGCTATACAAAAATGGGAAGTGGTTTTTCACATATGTTTTCTAACAAAGAAAAACTTAATTGGGGGAATATCTTATTTAACACGTGGGCATAGACCTGCCCAATGAGCGAACGTTACCTTGTATAATACAGATGCATAGTTTAAATATACCAAATTGAAGTATTAGTAAATTATGAAGGAGGAAACAAGAGCGAGAAGCTATCCTTCCAAATACACTTATAGTAATCAAATTTATATTTAAAACCATCATTCAAGTATTGTAATTAAGTGGAATTAGTAAATACTTAAAAATGGTGCATTAATTTTCCCTTAATTTACTTAACTCGGGGGCTTAAAAAACCGGTTTAAGGACCGATAATCCTCATACAACGAATAGCGGTACGTTAAATTTTAATTATTCGGGCCAAAATTGCATTAAACAAAGAACTCCCCCCCCCCTCCTCAGCGGGAGTTAGATGGTCGTATATTAAGCTCAAGATCGACCTAAAATGTTTTTTATGCAATTAATAATCGCCCCTTCCGTATCACTGCTCTCTCAATTTGGATTTTCAACGCCAAAATGGCTTCGAAGCGCATTATGACCTTTCCTGAACGATACCCGTGCCGGCATAGTCTGTGATTTAACAATTATAATTTTTTTTTTCCGTTTTTTTCCTGGGAATTAATTTTCCGCTTACCCTATGCGATTTAGCAAAAACTAGTATAAAAATGGGTGAAAGGAAGACAAAACACAAAATTTTGATACCCTACCCAAACACTTTAATAAATACCGATGACAATTAATTTGTTTACTTTTTGACGCGATTCAACGTGGCCAATCTTATTCCTTTTAAAAATAAATAAATAAAGGATCGGGCCGAACTCGTTATTTGTACAATGTCATTTAATAATACCTAGACTGATGCTGCAGTCGCTGAATGCAAATCAGCTGAACCCGCCATTTTGGTAATCCATATAGTAGTTATTCTCATTTTAAAGACTACTATTAAATTGATAACTTGTGCTTCCTTTTTATCTCGATGATCATGCAAATAAAGTTTGCGCCGGACATAGGAATAGATTGGCCTCTCGTTTAAAATTTTTAGTAATGGTATGGGTAACCAAAATGGCGTCCTTAGCTGTTCTTCATTGATGTACACTTTAAACGAATGCATTGTCAGTCTAGAACATTCTATTTGGAAAAATAACTAAAAAAAACCCTCTTTCTTAAACACGTTTTTCTTTTATCGATATTCTAGATTTTAAAACAAGGTTATGATAGGGATCAAAATACACGGGGTATTATTTATTTTAGTCCAAAAATCCCATTTTATTCAGACGACTATCTAGAATTCCAAAAAGAAAAGAAAAAAACGAGCTGGGGGGGGGCAGACTCATTTTGTATCAACTAGTATATCAATCGCCTGAGAATTAGAATATTCCATCTCCACTTTTTATAATTCTACGGTAGAACAATTTTAAATAAGATATATTTTTTTTTAAAAATAAAAAAATTTTAAAAAGTTCTTATTTAAAATTTAAATAGAACAAAAAAAAATAATTATTCGAATCATTTTAGCCCCAGTTATATCTACCCACTGTACCCCCAGTTTAAATGGTCGCTATTTAATAATTATAATGCTACCCCTATTTCATTTTATTTTTTGGTTTCTTATCTGGGATAAAAAAAAAATTTTTTTTTTTAAAAAACAATTTTAAATTTTAAAATTATTTTTAATTAGGCAACATAAAATAAAGTATCTTACATTTTTTATTTTTTAAAAATAATTTTGAAAGTAGGTATAGGTCATAATTTGTCATTTAAGATACAAAAATTATTTATATTTGTACAATAATTATATATCTTTTACAAAAAATTATTTTCTTTTTATTTTCCACAAAACATTTGTAATTTAAGATAATACTATTACTTATTTGTAAAATAATTTGTATCTTTTTATTAAAATTATTTTCTTTTCATTTTACAACAGCATTTGTAATTTAAAAATTGAAAAAAAAAAAATTAATTAATAACGGTATAACGCAAAAAAAAAATACGAACCTTTTTCGCGCTTTACCATTTTAAAAAATTTTAGCGTTTTTCGAAACGCAAATAATACATTCAAAAATGCGTTCGTTTTAAATTGGACAGGATATATTTTTGTTTTAAACGTTTAACAACACTAGGTTTCATATTAAAAAAACGATTCAATTTAAACAAAGATGCGTTTACGTTTTTTTTTTGTATTTGCGTTTTGAAACGCTGCATTGAAACGTTCAATTTTCGCGCACTCTTATACAGCCACTATTTTTTGAGGGCAATTAATACCGGTTCACTTTAGGCCGTGCAGAATTAATAAGAAACCACCCTACCCCCCACTTTTACCGTTCATATTGGCCACTTGAGATTAAGCGGGGTTATCTTAGGGTCGTTAAAGAAGTCCGATTCGGGTCTATTAAGATTCTAGCCTAAACGAATATTATGTGGGCCTCGAAATTTGGCCAATAGAGGTCCAAACCTTTTTTGCCATTTATGATCAAAATCTCCAGGGCTTTTGTTTACGTTTTGCCGTAATTTTTAAATTTAAAAAAAAAACGCAACGCGTCCCTTGTTTAAATTGAGGTGGTCATTCAAAATTTTAAATAAATTCTAAAAAAAAAAAGGATTCGTATTTGAAAATTAGATTTATCGTCTGCTTTCTTATTTCCTTAATTTTTCTAAAATATTCCTTTTTTTAAGGATTATAAGTAAGTTATTTTATATTACATTTTTAATATTAATATTACAAAGCTAAGAATAAAAAAAAACAGGTGATGAAAAGGCAAACCTGTTTACGTTTTTTTTTAAAATGCGCGAGACCATTTGAAAGGCAACTTATAACATTATTTTTGGCTAATTTTCTCTCTAAAAGAAAACTGTTTATTTTTCTTGCATCCATAATTTAACCCCCCCACCCAACCATTAGTGTTGTTAAATGGCTCTATTTGAGCAGATATGTACAAACGGCTAACCTCAATATTTTATCTAGAATAATATTTACGGCAAGCCTGAAGAATTTGCTCATAGATAGTCACATTAGCGAAATCTTGAGGGATTAGGCAATCTAACCTCCATCTTTTACTTTAAAGATTTATTTATATTTATATGTCACCACCATTTTTTTAGGGTTTCTTGGTTATTCGACACGTCACGTTTTTCCACCTTTTTCATATCCACTGCCATTATCGTATACGCGTGTTTCAGGTTTTTATTTTATTAATTTTTTTTTTAATTTATCGATTAAATTTATTAGAAGTTATATATTATTTTTATATTTTTTTAAAAAAAACAAAAAAAAAATAATAAAATGAATTGTACTCTAATGGGAGGGGGGGGGGGCATAAAATGAATTTCAGGAAATTTTTTTTATATTAATTTTTTTGCCTTTTTCCATTTTAGGTAAATCGTTTTTAATTTGTTTTAACGCGAAGGCTCACTTCGATTGGCTAAATTTTTATATTTTTTATATAAAAGATACTTATTTTTTTTTTAGAAATGTATCGATGTTCATATTTGTGTAATGTTGTATCGGACCCAATATTCTAAACCCGGTCCGAATTTATTTAAAATATATTCATTGATATTTTCTTCTTTTTTTTTCAAATATAAACATTAATTTTACATTTTATGCTAAAATTTTAAAATAAATTGCTCCCTTTTTGAGTGGATTTTTTTAAAAAATGGCGAACTCGGTATTTTAATCCAGAAAAATACAGCAGGAGCCTGAAGATTTTGCTCCATAGATGGTTCAAAGATTTCTAGACTTAGGCAATGATCTTTTTCTGGCTAAAACGCTGCGAAGATTTAAACTCTCACTTTACTGCTATCGAAATGGCAGAAGTTCTTAAAGACAGCAAAATGCGCTGGTTTCGCAACGGTCTTTCATACCTATAGTTAACCGAAACGTTAGGCATGTTTCAGAAATAAGACCCTTAATTTTATCAAAACCTTCGGTAAAAAAAAGGAGACAGATTACAGGCGACCATAACGGAGGATTCTACTTTCGTCAGCTGATTTTAGCCGGTCCAATTCCTTAAGAATTTACTTCACTCCTCTAGGGTGATATGTACCACTTTTTTTATATATATAAAAATTCCTTCCCTTTCCTTCTTTCTTTTAGGAGTCTTTTCCTGCTCCATACGAATTTACTTTTTATCCCAAGAATCATATCAACGCAAGGAATAAATCAAATATTCTTTTCTTTTAAATCGAAATGAACAATCTTTTTATTATAATCCTTATATATATATTTATATATATGTATGTTATAGCTTTGAAAAACAATTTAGATTAATTACAAAGTATACTTTAGGCGTGTATAAAGTCGCAAAATCAAATTTATGCCATGCCAATTAATTATTGAACGTATAATGATCGATTAACGGTGAAATAAATTAGTGGTTTAGTGATTATCGTTTTCTTTCCTTCTTTCTTTCTTTCTTCCTTCCTTCCTTCCTTCCTTCCTTCCTTCCTTTCTTTCTTTCTTTCTTTCTTTCTTTCTTTCTTTCTTTCTTTCTTTCTTTCCTTCTTTCTTTCTTTCTTTCTTTCTTTCTTTCTTTCTTTCTTTCTTTCTTTCTTTCTTTCTTTCTTTCTTTCTTTCTTTCTTCTTTCTTTCTTTCTTTCTTTCTTTCTTTCTTTCTTTCTTTCTTTCTTTCTTTCTTTCTTTCTTTCTTTCTTTCTTTCTTTCTTTCTTTCTTTCTTTCTTTCTTTCTTTCTTTCTTTCTTTCTTTCTTTCTTTCTTTCTTTCTTTCTTTCTTTCTTTCTTTCTTTCTTTCTTTCTTTCTTTCTTTCTTTCTTTCTTTCTTTCTTTCTTTCTTTCTTTCTTTCTTTCTTTCTTTCTTTCTTTCTTTCTTTTCTTTCTTTCTTTCTTTCTTTCTTTCTTTCTTTCTTTCTTTCTTTCTTCCTTCCTTCCTTCCTTCCTTCCTTTCTTTCTTTCTTTCTCCCTTTCTTTCTTTCTTTCTTAGAAATAATTTTTATTTATACTCTAAATCTTAACTCTTAAGATCTTCAATTCATGTTAAACTTTGATATAAAAATATGCTCGTCATGATTTCGTTTAAAACGAATATTCGAAACCGAATACGAATACATCATTAACCTTAACAAAGCGAATTAAATTTTTCGTTTTGTCTAGTGGACTCAAAAAACATGTCGACCGAAAATTTTTTTTTTTACGCAAAATTATATTTTATTTTTTTGTCTTAATTAATATCCTCGCGGAAACTAGAAAAAAAATAAATATTGGAAACTTATCTCGAAATAAAGGGGCAGATAAAGACAAAAAATTGAAAATGGCGTTGTGTAATTTCCTAATTGTAAAAAAATACGCGACATATCGCCAAAAAAAAAACATATAGAAAATAGTTTAGGGATTTTGACGACCTGATATTTCTTTCCTTTTCATTTAATTTCTATCGGGGATCGGTAGTAGTATTCTTTCGACTTTCCCGGGATTTTTTTTTTGAAAAAAATTTTTTCGATATTCTGCGGTCGGATTTATGGCAAAAAACATTTCCAACCCGACCCGGTTTTCAAAAAGCAGTTTTTTTTAAAACCCGGGTCTCATAACTTAACGTCCCTTCATTGATCTTTTTTTGCTCTTCATAATTTTTTTACGATTACTTTAAATATGATTACTTAAAATAAAAAAAATACTAATCATAAAGATCTCTGAACAACGAGAAACAAGAAATCCTTCTGCTACCCAACGATGAAACCGCGGAAGATCGCGAGAAACTTATAGATCCCCCTTCCGATCTCAAAGGCGAAGCGGCGGTGGCCTTGGATATGAAGGGCCACAATGAACACTACCGCGAAAATAAACTCGTCGATGACAAATACGAAAGTTAGATCTTATTTTATTTTATATTTTTTTTTCTCACTTAGTTTGTTTGAATTTATCATTTTGGGAAAATTTAAGAGAATAATCTTCCCTGATTAATTTTTAAATTTTTTTAAGATTTAAAAATATTTCGATTCAAAGATTTAATCCGATCCCATTCGGCTTCCCGATATTTAGCTTGTTTTTATTGGCTAAAGTAATTTTAGAGAAATAATGATAAAGTAAAAATTTATTTTAACCTCCAAAACTGCCACGCGACAACTGTGTATACGGGTATATACTTGAGGGGAAAAAAAATACCTTTCCAATTGTATCTAGATATCGATGACATGCATCTAGTTATAATAGATAACCCTATTTACGTCATCTAAATCAGAACCCTTGCAAGCCCAAGCCGGGCCGTATTTTAATTTTTTTTAAAAATATCCGGGCCGTGTTTGAAATTTTTTTTGAAAATAAATATCCGGGCCTGGACATATATTTTAAAACCAAATATTTGAAATCGCCATTATTAGCTATAAAAATCAAAAATAAATATAATGTATTTTAAAAAAATCCGGGCCGGGCCCAGCAAATGGTACCCCTGCAAGTCTCCATTTAAATATTTTGAAAACTATTTTGGGGATAATTACAAGCAGAGGTACTATTCGCACTGCCCGGCCCAGATTTTTTAATCGACCCGACGCGGGTTTTATATTTTCAGGCCCGGCCCGGATTTTTTAATTGACCCGACCCGCGTTTTATATTTTCAGGCCCGGCCCAGATTTTTTAATCGACCCGACCCGGGTTTTATATTTTCAGGCCCGGCCCGGATTTTTTAATCGACCCGACCCGGGTTTTATATTTTCAGGCCCGGTTTAGATTTTTTAATCGACCCGACCCGGGTTTTATATTTTCAGGCCCGGCCCAGATTTTTTAATCGACCCGACCCGGGTTTTATATTTTCAGGCCCGGTTTGGATTTTTTAATCGACCCGACCCGGGTTTTATATTTTCAGGCCCGGTTTGGATTTTTTAATCGACCCGACCCGGGTTTTATATTTTCAGGCCCGGTTTAAATTTTTTAATCGACCTGACCCGGGTTTTATATTTTCAGGCCCGGTTTGGATTTTTTAATCGACCCGACCCGACCCGGGTTTTATATTTTCAGGCCCGGCCCAGATTTTTTAATCGACCCGACCCGGGTTTTATATTTTCAGGCCCGGTTTGGATTTTTTAATCGACCCGACCCGGGTTTTATATTTTCAGGCCCGGTTTGGATTTTTTAGAATTATATACTCTTTAATTTTTATATCTAATGGCGATTTATTTTTATTTTTTATTATTCGACCCGGCCCATTCATATTTTTTTTAAAAAAAGGGGATGCAGGTCTCCATCCTTCCCCTTAGAATTTATAATGAATCGCACATAATATTGATATTCGACAACACTCATAAATTTTTTGATTGTCATAGATATTATTGTAAAACTAAATGTAATGTAAATCCACTATACGCTCCCCCCTTTCACAGGCCACGTTATACATCCTCCCCCCCCCCCCCCCCCCCACTGAAAAATTATTTCATATAGTTCACAAACTTAATTTCGCAATTACTAGTCGCGTAATAACATTTCAACCTCTGGACAAAATTTTTTTTAACCATGTTAGCCCCAACTAATAGAGCAGAAATGCAGCCCTATTTGGGTATGGCCAGTTATCACCACAGAATTTATCGAGGATTTTGCTTTCGGAAGCAACCGTCTTTATTATAAAATACTGGGAAAAGGGTGTTCACTTTGAGTGGAAAAAATGAACAGCAAACGAAGAACCTATTTTAGTTTGTTTTAATGATTTAGATATGTTGAAAAGCGTCACTCTGTTATTGAACAAGGAGGTGTTAGCGATAATATTTGATTTGACCAAATGTCGTGAACATCTGATCGGTAAAGAAAAATTGTCGTTTTTATTGATCATAAACCGTGGACAATACAGAAATCAATTTCGCAATTTGTAGATATATATTTTATATATGTCTCCATAATGTAAATGAGAAACGTGGATTTGTTATTCATTTTTTTTAATATTTTTTCCCTACATTTTAAAAAGGGAAAATTAATTGATTTGAATAAAATAAAAAAAACTAAAACAAATGGTATTGGATAATTATTGGTAGTAAAAATATTCAGGAATTTCCTGGGGGAGTAAAGAGTAGCCTGGCCGATGGAAAAGAATCTATCCCATCCGGTATTTAAAATCGAACTCCACATAGCTGACAAAAACCTTTTTTTGAAAGAGTGTCACCCAACCTTTTCACCTTCACTGATCAAATAGTCGGTTAATTATAAATGGCGATTGTATCGATCTTTTTTTTGTTGCGATACTTTAGGAATCGATTCGTAATTTTAGATACGTTTTAGAGTTTAAAAAATAAAAAGGATGCGTTATTGATATTTTATTTTTTATCAGATTTTCAAATGCTGAACTCCACCCAAGCCCTGTTATTGCCGCTAGGCGCCTCCGTTACGTTATTGCTCATGTTCTACTTTTTCGATTCTATGCAGGTAGCCATGACAATCTCCACGGCCTGTAAACAAATATGTTAAATTTATATTTTTTTAAAAAACAAAAAATTTCAATTCCGAAATTGAATAAATATTAGTTCTTGAAATCATTCTCGAACTAGTAATATTACTCCATTTTTTAACATGGTGGTGGAAAATGTGTTTGCACTTTTACCCTGAATTCAAAATGGCGCGATTTATACTTAACAGTTGACAGTTTTTTTTAAAATCATTTTTTCTTTATTAAAATCATTATTTCTTTAAATTATTATTATTTATGAATTGAATTGAAGATAAAAATTAATATTAATAAATAAAAAATTGATCAAACAGGTTTTTAAAAAAATCGATCAGCCGCTATGAATTCACGGAGAATGTTGCGAGAAATAGATAAATAAAAGAAACGAAGAAATATAGATAGCAAGAGAGAGAGAGAGAGAAAAGAATGGAGAAGGTAGATGATAAAAATAAGTTGACTATAATCGATTAGTTTATATGTTTTTTAAAATCGGTAAAATTTAGTTTATAATAATGTGGAACTAACAAGCTTTTGCAGAATGGAACAGCTGTGCATGTTTTTGTCTTGGGAATTAGAACATTACAAACGCGCAATAGATTTTTTTTTGAAATTTAATTCAAATACTCCATTTTTCGGGAGGTGGGGGTGTGGGTGGCAGCTAGAATAGTGACCCCACTTATTACTATTTTTAAGTTTTCTTTAAACCTGAAAGTAGTCATAATCAGCTGATTTGTCTCTCGCTATATTTCTATTGGACTTATAATTGGGTTAATTACGAAACCGCGCCCCACCTATCTTTACAAAATGGCAGTAATGGAAGAAAAATTTGGGATGAGATTTTTCGATTTCATGTAACAGGCATTAGGGATGATTCCATTAACCCCCTCATTCATAGTTAGCGCGAAATTCGCGGCGGAAGAATACAATAACTGTGAATGTGAGGCAACTTAGGCAGTCTAGTTAGCATTGGAAAATTTATTGAAAGGTCGATTCTATAATTTAATATTTCTTGGCTTTGGTGATGCCAAATCGACCTGTCTCTCTCGTTCTCGGCACGTGACCAACAAGAAAAATCAGCTGGGGTTCTAAGGTGCCAGCTAGATTTTTTTTTGGCAAAAGCCCTTGAAGTCGTTTTCGGGCCGCATCGCCTACGGAGCGATTTGTCACTACGCTACGTATAGCGTGGAGCGAGATTTAATAAAAATGATAAATTTTTAAAAAATAAATAAAAAGGTATAGCCTGTTTGGCCTTCGCGTTTCTACTGCTTCCCTGTTGCAAATTTTTCCTCAATTCCGTATCCGTAACGCTGCCGCTTAAAAAGTTATATATTTAGCACCTAAAATATTTTTTATTTATTTTATGAAACCATATCGTAAGGTCCGATTAATCGAATGCACAATATCGAATTATGGAATCTCGATTGTATATTCTATACAAACATGATTGACATATCACCAATAAGAACTACCGAAAAAATCTCTAAAAATAACAATTTTTCCATAACGTATTTATTATTTTTATAGATTGCCTTTTAAAGCCTTAGATAATTTTACGGTTACTCACGTTATGGCTTTCCTTATTTCCTTGTTTCTCGTATTTATGTGGATCAAGACGGGCCATTGGTTGTTAATGAACGGTTAGATTTATTTTACATATGAATTGTTATGGGGGGGGGGGTTGTAAGGAGGTAATCTTATAATCATTTCAGGGATCCTTATTAAACCTAGTTACTAAGTTAGAAATTTTAAATCAAGCCTTTAATTGAATCATAAGTTAGTTGGTTAAAGATATAGGACTAACACCTTCCTATCAACAATTTTCCCCAAATTAAATTTAGATACTGAGATGAATCCATAATGTAGCGATGATTTCTGCCGAAAATTTAACGGTTGATCTCGGGTTGGCATAATAATCATTATTTTTGACAGCTCTATTTAACTGACTTTTACGCCTAATTCGATATTTTAGCCAGAAAAATATCGCACAAACCTCTAGATTTTGCTGATAGATGCCCAAAACCTCTTGTGCCACTCTATAACTAAAATCGTTAAGACCTGCGTAGTACTTTGCTGGGTTGAATATTGAATTTGCCGTTTTTAGACCGGCCACACAAAATTTTATAACGCATTTGTCATTTTAAATTTCCAACAAGATTATATCTTATATATATACCATTTATTTATTTTTTCTAACCCCTCCGCCATCCGTTATGTTAGCCTTGGGTCTTGGCCTTTGCGTATCCTTTATATCCTACGTCAAATTACCCAGCCTTAAGGTTTCGATCCTTCTCTTGTTCGGACTTTTGATTTACGATATATTTTGGGCAAGATTTTTTTTATCATTATCACTTCTTCTCTTCCAATCCTTTCTTCTCTCGTATTCCTTTTTCTTTTCTTTTTTTTCTTCTCTATTTTCTCGTTTCTTATCTCTTATTCTTATTTTACAAATCTTTATTAATTTTAATATATATATGTCATAGGAGGGTTATTCTGGAATTATTAACAATTAAATCGTTTTATAGCTGACATTTTATATTTTAAAGACTCATTTTGGAGAAACAATTTTATGGTTGAATTTCTAATCGATTTTAGTTTAAATTGATTTGATTTTAATTCGAAGTTTAAATAGTAGGAGACTTTACATTCCTCGTGTTGTAGTATAATTCATTTCCGGTAAAATAACAACCTTCAAAAAAAAAATTTAAATATTCTGTAGATTATTCAAGATTCTATTATATCCCATTTACATATAGTATATATAAATGTTTTTTTATTTTTAGGTATTCTTTTCGGCACGCCTCTTCAAAAGCAACGTGATGCTTCACGTGGCTACCCGATCGGCGGATAACCCGGCGTTTCTCTTATTCCGTAATCACCATTTTGAGGGGTCTAATTCTCAGCACCCCAGTGACGCTAATCATAACGGCATGGTACCGAAATTATCGCTTCCCGTTAAACTCTTTTTCCCTAGGTTTCGAATTATTGTTTATCGAAGCCAATTTATTATTATTATATTATATTGCTTGTCCCATTACGCGATTGGCTTATTTTTATAAAAACTAAAATTTTAAACCAATCGTCGTCTGAAAGTGTCATCTAAATTTTACGAAAAATTGCTTTTTTTTTATCCAATTGAGAGCGTATGGTTAGTTATTTTTTTTTTCTGATCCTTTAATTCTGGATTCCTTCTGTCATTCGCCAAATCATCCCTTAGATTTAGTTCCCCTCCGTCAGTCTTCTACAATCATATCTTCTCATTGGGGGAGGGGTCATCTACGTAATTTCTCAACTTGCTTAACCATGATTCTCCCTCATTTTAGCAATGCTCTCTCTTTGAGTCTCCCTTCAAATTACATTGTTCCATTAAGGGACTCGTCTACGTATTTACAACTTTTTAGCCATCCTATTTTTTTTGTAATCAAGTCAGCCCCCTCACCATACTTCTTTCTCATTTTAGGGATTAAAATTTAAAAAATTGGATTATAAATGTTGACTCAATTTTCGGTTCTTATTCTATTTCCATAAAACAACCTTTTAATATTCAAATTACATCAGAAATATTGCAAAATAAAATGGAAATTTTAATCATTCCTATGTCGGAGAATGGATGGAACGATGTCTTTAATTCATATTATGAGATTTTATTATATTTATAATTCCTTTTTTTAAAAATATTTTTATATAAAACTCGTATTAGTTCAAAAAATTCTGGTCATTTTTCGATGTTGGGACTCGGAGATATAGTAAATAAATTTAATACTTTCAATTCATTTTATAAATATTTAATTTATTATCAAATTAATTTACCACGAAACCAAAAATCGATTTTTAAGTTTTTTAGGGTAATATATATTTTTTTAATGCGTTTTTTTTCCATAAAATATTTGATAAACACCCCGTCAATTATCTTTATACGCCAAAAACAATTTTTTTTTATCAATCTTTACAATAATTCGTAGGTTAGGTAAGGTATTCTTAACAGCTGAAGTACATTTTCCGGTAGAATCGAAATTTAAATAACGCGTTCATTTTAAAGTTGAAGAAAATAATACATTTGCCGCTAACATATTATATTAATTATTATACGCGTTGACGCTACATATATTAAATACTATACGCGTTGACGCTACATATATTAAATACTATACGCGTTGACGCTACATATATTAATTATTATACGCGTTGACGCTACATATATTAATTATTATACGCGTTGACGCTACATATATTAAATACTATACGCGTTGACGCTACATATATTAAATACTATACGCGTTGACGCTACATATATTAATTATTATACGCGTTGACGCTACATATATTAATTATTATACGCGTTGACGCTACATATATTAAATACTATACGCGTTGACGTTACATATATTAAATACTATACGCGTTGACGCTACATATATTAAATACTATACGCGTTGACGCTACATATATTAAATACTATACGCGTTGACGCTACATATATTAAATACTATAAGCGTTGACGCTACATATATTAAATACTATATGCGTTGACGCTACATATATTAAATACTATACGCGTTGACGCTACATATATTAAATACTATACGCGTTGACGCTACATATATTAAATACTATACGCGTTGACGCTACATATATTAATTATTATACGCGTTGACGCTACATATATTAATTATTATACGCGTTGACGCTACATATATTAAATACTATACGCGTTGACGCTACATATATTAAATACTATACGCGTTGACGCTACATATATTAAATACTATACGCGTTGACGCTATACGATAATTTAATATTATATGTTTATATCATATATTAAATATTGTAGGCGTTGACGCTATCATATTTTAAATATTATATGTATAATGTAAAAGTGTCCAAGTAAGCGTAAAGCTATCTCGCAATTAAAAAGTAGCGCCCCCTCGAAATGGGTATAATATACCTTTTATTTTTTTGCTAAATATTTAGTCGTTTAGTATGTCATCGTATCATTATCGACGGCGTTGTGTATCATTACCCCCCATGGTCATCGATTTAATTGTACATATAACAAATATACTCTTTTTTTCTTCAAAAAATGGAATGTTAATTCTTACGTGAAAATTTGAACATCCCGTTCGTATCATGTTAAGGTGAAGTTTCTTTCACTCGCGTTTATTATGGTGCACACAAATTGAACGTTTCAACATAGCGTTTTGAACCGTTAATTTTTTTTAAAATATCAAACGTCTAAATTCTAAACAAAATTAAAAAGGCTTGCCCCTATATTTAATTAGGAAATCTTTTTGTAATATCATATTTCCATGAGCTAAAAATATAATTTAATTTTTAGAAGATGTTGTATCCATGATATCAACACCAAAAATTTGAAAACGTTTTCAAAAAAAAAACGCAAAATATTTTGTTTTTTTTAATAAATAATTTTAAAAATCCAAAATGGAAATGCTGTCCAATTTGAACGAATGCATTATTCGCGTTTTGAAACGTTCAATTTGTTCGCCACTATTTATGTACGTTTATGCGATTATATACGAAAGGTGATGCCCGGGCTATTACTATGCTTCTTGCTCCGATTTGATTCTCAAAAAAACGACAATCTGCCTTTAGATCACAAACCGACCAGAAAAAAATTGAGCTATTTTCAGTGCTCGATGATAGGATATTTCATAGGTTTGTTTTTTTAAATATAAAAAACATTTAATTAAAGGACAACTTGTAATTAACGCAAATCTTTGATTTTCAATTTTGTCCATTATTGTAATAATTAAGATTTATAGTACTACATATATACTATGCCGACCTTGACGTGCAAGTTCGGTTAACCCCCCTGTCACGGGCGGATAAGGAAATTAATAAATATTGGCTTAGGCACCTAAAATTAATTATTTAGTTTACAAAAACAAAATTTACAGTTGTATTCCACTCTAATGATAATTACCACCCGTATGTAATTTGCACGTTACTCCTCCCTTTACTCACGCATTCACAGTTGGCGCTAATTCGCGGCAATTCGCGCCAACTGTGAATGCGGAGTTATGCCTTGGCTAGGGTGTGGGCTGCGTTTTTATCCGATTCCAAAGACAAATAGACTCGGGATTTTTCTTTGTAAATAAAGATGGCGGCTCGATCTTGTAGAAATTTGAATTTCACGCCTCGATTGCTCCAAACGCACCCGTAAATTGAGTCTATTTTAGTCAGATAGTTTTTTTAATATATACTTTTTAAAATGTATCCAGATACCGATATAACTCTGATACTTTTTATTATTTATGACAATTTAATTTCTCATTTAAAAAAACACACTTCGCCCATAGGGTTAATGATAGCTACGTTATCTTCCGAAATTTTTAAAGCACCTCAACCCGCGCTCTTGTACTTGGTTCCTTTCACGATAATTCCCATACTCATCATGGCCTACTTTAAAGTAATCACGAGAAATTAATATAAATATTAGCATTATATAAACTCCACCAAAAACGGGCAACTTGACTTTAAATACTTCTATAAAATACTATTTTATGCCGTTTGAACATGGCGTTGTTAGGTGGCTAGATTTACCGGATTTTTTTTATAAAGCGTTCTTGATAAAATATGATCTAAGCATAATTCTCAAGATTTCACTAATAGATATTCCCAACTTTCTGCCAGTTAAAAAAAAAGAAGTCGATTTAAGGTTTTAGCCAACATAATCTTAATGTAAACCTCTGGATTTGGCCAATAGATGCCAATACTGAACAAAAATCTCTAGGATTTCGCCATAATATTTTGGCAGAATAATCGTGTCTTTTTTTTAAAAAAAAATCGACCCAACTCCAACAGCAAATCGAATACGACATAAATTCGATTTTAATATTTTTAATTTAATAAATATTTTAACTGGAAACTCCCTTGATATCCTGCTCCCTTTATCATAGATTCATATTATTTTTTTTAACGCAAATTTAAATTTTTTACACTAGGGCGATCTCAGACGAATGTGGAACGAACCATTTGTTTCCTTAAAATAATGAAAAATTTAGTCCATCATAAAATATATATATTTTTAAAAATTTTCCCACTACTTATTGTTTGTAAGTGATCGTTTAAAAAAAAATAAAAAAATATTGGTATTTCCCTCCCCGTCTCTTCTTACGTTTCAATCAATTATTCTACTTTAGATATCATAAATTTTACTTGGAAATTTATATCCTTATTTTATTTTTTTTTAAGAATCTCTTAAAGAGATAAAATCTGAAATCAAATATTGTATTATTTTTTTAAAAAAATATAATTTTAATTAGTGTTAGTAGTCATAATAAAATAAATTTTATAATAGCACTTTTTACAAAAAATGAATTATATTATTATATATATTTTTATTTTAAAATAGCAAACGAATCATGAATATCGTCGTTTATAATACAATAATAATTGTATGATATATTATTATTTTAAAACACATTTATTTTTTTTTTGTTAAGAAATCTCCAAATTATTTATTAAAATTCTATTAATATATCATTATAATTTTATATTATTCTTCATTTTGAAAGCATTTATACATTTCGAAAAAAATAAACATATCGATTTTGAGTAAATTGATTAAGATTTGAATAAGGATCCTATAGCCGAAAAGGGGATCAACTGGGTTATATTAGACATGCGCAATGGCTAAAATCTCGGCGGCCAACGCGAGATTTAAAAATGGGCACGGCGGCAAGCGGCGCGCCACTTTTTAACCGCCGACAACTTAGGAGGCCTATCGGCGCACCGACATGAATTTTTAAATTTTTGTTTTTAGCAAAAGCTAAATTAATTTAAAAATAAATTATTCGCTACAGATTTATATTGGCATATTTTTTTAAAAATATTTATTGAAGGGAAGACTGATTATAAATACAAACCCTATTTTATTTTTCCTGACATAAAGATGATCTCCTTAAATTCCACGTCAACCCTACCATTAGGTGTGCCGGTTGCCGGAACCCAAAGAATTTATTTATCATGGAAGGATTCGGATGTTAGATCCTCTTCCAAAAAATTTAGAATATCATTTTGTGAGCGGTGTTTTCCTAGAAGAACTTGGCATTCTTGTTCTGCGTAACTTAAAGTGGAATCATAAAATGTGTGCTAGAATTAGTGTTGTTCAATCACCTTACCAATAACTCTGTCAAGTTTTTACCCTAAAGATTTAGTTTACAATATTTAAGTTTAGGTTGAACTTAGATGTTTATGTCTTTTTAGGTTAAAAGCTTGGCTAAGCCTTATAGGAATTGGCTAATGGTATGCGACAACATAACAACACTAGTTAGAATGTTTATTTGCTAACCTTGTTCAAAAAATAATTTAATTTGTATATTCTCACGATTTCCCATCTCTATATTCTCTAAATCTAATAGTCGTCGTACTCTATATAATTTTAAAGATATTTGTTAATAAATTCAATGGATGTTTTCACCATAATTTTAACATCTGTGAAATCTTGGTGCCCGAGAAGAGAAGCCAACACCTAAATAATTTAGAAAGATAAAAAAGTTAAAATTAAATAAAATTAAATACTTATTTAATTTTTTTCATGTGCGGTAAAAAAAAAATATGGATCATATTTATTCAAGATTTTTTTTTAAAAAAGTTGGAGTATAATATAACTAATTGTTTATTTCATATCAAAAATCTTTTTAAAAAAAAGCTTTAGGGTGGGTTAGATTTTGTATTATCATGCAAAAAGTTAACCCCCCAAAAAATGGGTTATATTTTTTCGCCTAGCGTGAATGTAAGGGATAAAATTACTCTCAGATCACAACCAAACTTTTTTAAGCACATTTTTCCGTGAAATAATTTCTGATCTGTCAGTATCATTTACTATTAAATGCGTTTCTATTTCACTTCTATAAAGCAAATTTTACGTTATATCTAGACCCCCCACACTTTTTTTTTTGCTGGTGAGGATAGAAATTCAACTGTTTCTTAAAAAAAATTTCGAAAGAAAAATTAATAATTCTCTTCACAAGATTCTAATGATCGTTTAAAGATAATGATTTCAATTTCTTTTCGAAATACGAAATGATTAAATTTTTGTTAGCTCCATGATACTCTTTCGAGCTTAATTAATATACTGTACCATCGGCTAAATAAAAAATTATAAAAGAACTTAATATATGCATAGTTTATTTATTTATATTTGTCTGGAAAGTTCCGGAATACGCGTTCCGTTCCCGCTCCATAAATTTACCCAAAATTTTGTTCCATGTCCCTGATGATAGCATACTACTTTTAGCGTATAACTAACCAAATGTAAAAATGTATTACTTAAAAGTAAATCGTTTGTTTGCGTTCTACATTTCTTTCTATATAGCCTTCTATTTTAGCGAAGGATTCTTTTTTTTAACGATGTCGGGCGGTCTGAACCGGTACCCTTGGTCCTTTACCTCACAACATTTTTATTTAAACAAAAATAGCAAATTCGATATAAAAAAAGGGGGCATGCGACTTTTCTTAAATATTGTATAAAATGATTAGGGGGGAGACTGGGGTTAGGTAAACCCCGGGGCTTGGCAAACCACTTAATCTCATTTTAATATTAAATACAACCAGAAGGTTAAAATTTTATCCTAGTATAGTTATTGTTAGTTTACATCTCTAAACAAAAAAAATCTTTGAAATAATTAATTATTAAAAAATTTTATTATAAGAAATGAATTTCGAAAGATTTTTACATGACAGAATTTTAAAATTTTTATTTAAATATATATTCATTCGTATGTAAATTCAAATTTTATAGCTAAGTTTTAAACATTCTTCTATAATTTGGGAAAGTTTTATGATTATTCGTCATATTTAGATATCACGATTTGTCAATTTATAGCTAGCGTGGCTTTGCTAAAACCATTCACGTCAATTATGGCAGTCAATAATGGAAAAAATTTTTAAATTCTTGAAAAGGCAATTTCTTGGCTGTTTTATGATTGGCATTTAGGATTCATTGTAGGAAATCATGGATCACTCCTTAAGATCCTTCTTTTTTTTTAATGTCCAAAACGTTTATTAGATTGACCCCAAATTAAGTTTCAAATTTTATATATATAATTAGCTTCGATTTATAAATATTATGATATTTTGAATAATATAAAACTATTCTATACGTATCATTATTAATAAATTATAATGCATTTCAATTTATTATGGCCCTAAAAATACCTATGGCTTAGGAAGCCCCTTGAAGTGGTATTCCTCAACTCGCTATTGGGTCTCGTACAAAATTTTTCACTTTTATAAAAAATAAAAATTTTTTAAATAAAAAGATTTTATTCTTAAAATATTTTATTTTATAGATATATCGTTATAGGTATCTTATCACATATTTTTTATATTATCTAAAAAAGTACAGGAGGTATAGCCAATTTTGCAAAAGTTGGTTCGACTAACCCCAGTTTACCCTATCCCTATTTTTAACTTTATCTTAAATTTAATTTTATAAAAACTAAATCAGCTGTCATTATACGCTGCGTTAAATAACGCGTTTACTATGAAACGAGGCAGACGCGTATAACGCGAAAAAAAACGCTAATAATATATTTATTTTAAAAAAAAACAATCACCAAGTTATATATTTTATTAAGCAAAGCGGATAGATGATATTTAAGAGGGAAAATGCGAATTTTGAAATATAAAATAATAAAAAAATATTAAAATTTGGATATTAATTAATAATAATTACAAATGTTAAAATCATATGTTTTTTTATACGTGATCAAATATAAAATAAAAAGAGAGCTAAAATGAAACCCCAAAAGCGATTACATGAAACATATGATATATAAATGGGAAATTTTTTTTAATAGATGGCGGAAAGGATTGAGTAATTGACTTTGGCTCCGGATTTGGTGTTTGTTGCAAGTTTTGTCAGCTGTTTCGTGATTAAATGAACATAACCATTTTTTTTTTTAAATAGTAAATTATTAATTTTTCATTTATTCAATATGGAGTCAATTTATTTTTTAATTGTGTAAAAAAATAAAAAATTACATCTAGCACAGACGTAGTCGGGGGATGAATGATTTGATCTTGTAAATGTCATTTTAATCGAACATAATTCCCCCTTCCCTCCTACACATCCACCAAAAAATGCGTATATAATAAGTCACTAAATACAGGAATTTGGAAGTTAAAAGTTTGTTATCATTTTTTGGTTATTAAATTACTATAAATTCAAAATTTTTTTGGAAAAAAAAAACTTTTGTTAATTAAAAAAACATAAAATAAACCCCATAATTATTTTGTTGTAAAAATTTAGCATAGCCAAAGGTCTACAACGAGTGGACTTGAAGACCTCTAAAATTATAGAGTAAAAAAACCTTTGCCAGCCCCATAGCTAAATTCTGGCAACGCTTTATGGCCTATAGAGTTAGATTTATTATCTTACCTTTTAAATGTTTACAAAAAAAAAATATCGTTTTAAAATAACAACTCATACAACTTAAAATATCAAGAATGGGAGATGATGGTATAGTATAATATTTTAAATTACCACTAAGCAAGCCTGGTTGCCGTTCGTAGTCAATGATCCAGGAAATACAACTTGATCTCCTTTGAAAGGGCCTCTGTTAACACGGGTACTTGTTATTTGAACTCCATCAACGTTTATATTACCATTGGTGGGTAATTGAGTAGTGCTAATCATTGTATTTGTAGCAATATCACTTAGTTTGATAGCTAAAATTAAAAAAAAATGTATGAACAATAGATTACAAAGTTTTGTATTCTCGATAAAGTTAATATTCTATTTTTGTATTCCTTTGCTTACCTACACTAAAGAAATCTGGTTTATTAGGTAGACCCTGATTAACGAAATAGGTGGCACTGCAGCTTCTATCTCCTACAGCTGGTCTCGTAAAACATCTTCGGACTTCAAGTTCCGAAGGAGCTTTTGTAATATAACGAATAAAGTAAATATATATATATGCTAGATATTTTTTAAAGTCACATAGTTGTCCATTTTAAGGATTTAGATGCGCCTTAAGAAAATTGCCATTCCAACCTAATTTA